GGTGGGCAGTCCCTAAAAAGCTTCAGAGTGGCAAACAGTCCCCCCAAAAAGCAAAGCAGGATTAGAAGGTTAGGACTTTCAGCTCCACTCAGGAGCTGGGAGGCTGAAGGAGTGGGTGGCTGAAGGTTAAGTTGATCACAGTGGCCAAGGATGTAATCAACCTTGCCTCCATAATAAAGTCTTCATAAAAATGCAAAAGGAGTATGGAGAAGCTTCCCGGTAGTTGAACATGTGGAGGTTACTGGAGAGCAGTGTTCCTGGTGAGGGCATGCAGGCAGGCCCCATGGAAGAGTTGGTGGTTTCTACAATAGCAGCCTGCAAGTCCCTGAAAAGTGACTTCAGCAATGACTATCAATATGACACCCACACCAGGGGATTTCTTAGGTTTTTGTCACTGTGACCAAAATACCTGGTAAGAACAACTTAGAGGAGGAAAAGTTTGTCTTGACTCACAGTTTGAGACTTCCTGGTCAGCAGAGAGGGGAGAGGGGAGAGGGAAAGGGCCACAGGGAAGGTGGCATCCCTCCAGGGACATCCCCAGGGGCACACCTCCTGCAGTCATGCCCCGTCTGCCTAGTTATCTTCTTGTCAGTCCTGTTGGAACTGGGTTGGACTGAGTAGGCTACAGCTCTCAATCTACTCATTCTACCTTCCTATGTTAACACAAGAGCTTTTGAGGGACACCTCATATCCACACAACAGCAGAACTCAGTTGAAGACTAATAACATCATTTAGCTGTGCCACCTCCAAATTTAGTGATTTTTAAAGTGAACTGAAGCTGGTAACTAAAAGCAAGTGAAGCTGGAGAGTTTATTTGGGGTTCTCTTGGTTCCATGCCTACACAGCCTCTCTTTTCTTAGTGATTTTTCAATCCCAGAGAAAGGAGCAAGTCTGGGATCTATCCCAGACTGAACACTTGAAAATGCACAAAGAGTGATCCCTAAATCTTCAAGAGACATAATCTCTAAGTAGATTTTAATGTGAACAAGAAATCGAATCATTTATATCAAATATAATTGATAATTGGCTGATAAAAAATAGTTGCAATAAACTAAAAACAAGTGTGGATAAATGAAATTGGTATATCATGTGATGTATTTTTATTTTTAAACTTTTTGATTGTTGAGATTGAACCCAGGGACACTTAACCACTGAGCCATGTCCCCAGCCCTTTTCATTTTTTAAAATTTTGAGACAGGGTCTTGCTAAGTTGCTTAGAGCCTCATTAGTTTGTTGATGCTTGCTTTGAACTTGGAATCCTCCTGCCTCAGCCTCCCAAGTGGCTGGGATTACAGGTGTGGGCCACTACGCCTGGCTTAAATTCTATTTTCAAAACACTGAAGGGCATGGAGAAATGCTCATAATGAATTATCAAAGTAACTAGACTATCAGATTTTCCAAGTTTTATAAAACTGTCTAAATTTAGTTGAACATCTAGAGATGTATGGGGGTGATAATTTTTAAATTATCTAAAATTCTGTATGCACAAGAATTCCATCCATATGTTTTGGTGTGTTGTCCTTTTGTCTTTAAAGTGGCTGTAAGTACCTGTAAGTACTTTGTTCCCCATGCCATACTGATCCTGTGAGACAGAAACCTCATTTCTATTTATGCCCTGGAACCCAGGTCCTGACTCTGGTGACCTAAGAATATTTCTTGAAGTAATGAACTTGAAAAAAAGGCTCCTCTTTGTCATCATTTGAAGTGACAAAACAGTGATTTCAAGATGACACCACCAAAGCATTGATCTTACAGAATTTGGGTATGATGTGACAGCAGGCTTCTGAAGAAGTCTCCCTTTTGCAGACAATCACCTAGCTCTGCGGCTCTTGTGTCATTTTCTACGTGACCACGAGGGGGCAGTGCCTGACTGTTGCTTCCATGACACTGCCTATTGCAGAAGGTTTGCAAGTTTTGCCCTCTACAGAACACGTTTAATAATGGTAGATAATTTGTTTAATAAACATTAATTTGCTTTTATTCTTCATTAAAATTTGGACGCTGATGAAAATTCTCCACAAGAAACAAACACATGTTTATCCACTGGCTGGAAGATGTACCTGTGACACATGAAGGTGTGAAAAATGATGGGTCCACCCCACATCTCTATTTGAATCTCCCTCTCTCCTACATCCATCATGTACCAACATCCATGTAAAACATCCTGTCACAGATAGATGTGATGACTACAGATCTATTCAGTCTGTTGTTCTTTTTGTGATGGGAATCTGCTGGGAAGCGGTTTGCTCCTCAGAGTCAGAATGGAATTGAAATGATGGGGTCGTTGGCAGCATGTTTGTCAAGTGGCAGAGCTATTGGTTGGCATCGCTAAGGTCTGGTACAGATGGTGAGCCAAAGCACTCCGTTTCCCTTTCTCTGGGGAACTTGACTAAAATCCTTTATATCCTGCAAGAGTGTCAGGCTAGAATAATGAAATTGGTGATCTGGAGGGGAGATATGGATGTGATTTTAATTACCTAGAACTCTGCCCACAAGGCCCATCACTCTGCATTCTACCTTGATTCTGAGACGGGACAAAGGACAGGTAGTCAGCATAGATATTGAATGAGGAGGTGGAAAAGGTAAGGACTAATTAATTACCAAAGAAAAGAAAATGGGATGCACACCCTCCAGGCATTCCTTCTCTCTAGAAGTTGCTACCCCCTCCGGGGGGATCACTCCTCCCAACACAAGGAGATGTCCCCTGTGCTGCTCTTTTCCTGCCTTTGGGCACATACACTGGATAAAAAGAGGAGGTAGGGAGAAGAAGAGATCTGTAAAGGGACCATCCCCTCCCACTGGCATCTGGCTCTGGAACCTGAATGCTTTCTGGAGAAGTCTGTTCTGTGTCTCTTATAAAACTTGCTTTCTACTCTTGCCTCTGCATTTCTCGGGTATTTAATCTTCAACGTAGAGAGGAAAGTGGACCAGATCCTGTTTGCTGAGACCAGGGTCAATCTCTTGTGCCCCTCACCAGACAGTGACCTGGGAGCAGAATCTACCCCTTGGCTTAAACTCTATCTTCTGGGCCCCAACTTGGCTCTAGGCAGAGAGCAGCTGATGAAAGGCCTCAGGGGCCAAAGGTCTAACAAGACGGAGGGTAGTATTTGAAAGTGGGATGCTGCTAGAGCATCCTAGATGTGAGGTCACCCTATGTATGGGGCGCTCAGACAGACCTTCCTTTGCAGCTGCAGAGTTCCCTGGGAACACCAGGAGATTTGTCCATCCATCTACGTGGGTGTTAGTGAGAGCTCCTAATTCAACCAGTGCTGTGAAGAAGCGCCTTGCACAAAGATCTGAACAAACACTTCACACAAGAAGAAATATGAGTGGTCAAAAATTATATGAAAAAATGTTCAACATCTCTAGCAATTAGAGAAATGCAGATTAAAACTACACCGAAATTCCATCTCCCTCCAGTCAGAATGGCAATGATCAAGAATACAAATAACAATGTTAGTAAAGATGGAAGAAGAAAGTTATTCTCATACATTGTTGGTGGGACTGCAAATTGATGCAACCACTATAGAAAGCAGTGTGGAGACTCCTCAGAAAACGTGGAATGGAACCATCTTTGGACCCAGTTATCCCCACTCCTTGGTCTATATTCAAAGAACTTAAAAACAGCATACAACAATGATACAGCTACATCAATATTTATATTTATCAATATTTATATTTATCAATATTTATATTGATGAAGCTATATCACTGTTATATACTGTTTTTATATTATAGAAGCTCAACTCACAATAACCAAGCTATGGAAACAACCTAGGTGTCCTTCAATGGATGAATTGATAAAGAAAATGTGATATACATACAATAGAATATTACTCAACCATAAAGAAGCATGGAATTATGGCATTTGTCAGTAAATGGATGGAACTGGAGAATATTATGGTCAGTGAAATAAGACAGTCCCCCAAAACCAAAGGCCAAATGTTCTGTCTGATTTGTAGATACTATACCCCAAACAAGGGAGGTTGAGGAGAAGGGTATAATAGAAGTAACTAGGCAATGGATAATGAAGAAAATGGAAGGAGGAGGGGAATAGGAAATACAGTAGAATTAATTGGTCATAACTTTCCTAGCCTGTGTTTGCAAATACAACCAGGGTAACTCCACACCACGTATGACCACAAGAGTAGGAACCTAATAGAATAATATATACTCTATGTATATATGTTCTGCAAGATACATTCTACTGTCATGTATAAGTAAAAAAAAATAAAATTAAGAGCTTTGCAAGGAAATCTTCAAAAATGAATCAATGCAGAGGTGGGATTACTCCCTAGCATTGGCCGTGCTAGGTAAAAGAATATAAGCTGAGAACTTGGGTGGGTGCTGCCAAAGGACTCTGACAGAGGAATACCCATGCTAGGTCTCCCACAGGATGTGCCAGGGCTTGTGCCTCCCACATTCTCACCAGGGTGGTTCAGCACCAGCCTTAAAACCTGTTCAGTCGATGGGGGAAAATGACATCCCAGGAGTGTGTGCATTTGTGTGTTGACATTCAGAGGTTGAGCATCTCTGACGGTAACTGCTATATGCAGTGATTCCTTCTGATTTGCACAAATTTGTCCTTTGTCCCATGGCATCGGTGTTCATTGTTTATCCTCTTTCTTGGGATCTATTTCCTCCCAGAGCTTCACTACTTGCTCTTCTCTTCCAGAACTGATCAGCAATGGGAAGGGTAGAAGTAAAGTCCAGGGCCCAGGATTTCAGTATCCGCTTCCTTCCTCCACGACCTATTGTGGTTGGGAAGGGATGAATGTTTACTTTTGGTGGAGATGTTGGGGAGGAACCTGGGAAGGGATGAAAGTTTATTTTTCCCAGCATGGGACCGTGGTTTCTGGGATTAATGATCACCTTCCTTTTCCCTCTTCCTCTGGGTCAGACAGTTTTGGGGGCTGTCATTTTTCATATCCTTTAGTGGTTATGGATACCCGATTCAGGAAAATATTCTGGAACTACGAAGGAGTGACTAGTGCAGAAGTCTGAGAATGTATTTAATGGCAATAGATGGAATCTTTTAAAAACAAATAAAGTATTTAATTTTCAAAGAAACAAATTTTAACAAAAATGTAAATACATAAAATAGAAGTAAAAAATAAATGGCAGGGGAGGCAAGGGTAGCTCTGGGGTGACAACGAGTGTGAGGAGGAGCTCAGTGGGTGGTGCTGGCTGAGGGGCCACCAGGGGTTGATGGCCTGGAGTTGCCATTGCAGGCCTTTCCAGCTCCAGCTCTCTCTCAGGTGGTGGAGGTGGTGAAATTTGAGATGGAGCATCCCCAAGCACCAGATGTGGTCCTGCAACTGCAAGAGGAGTAAAGGTCAAGAAACTGTCCATGTTCCTTCCAGGGGTAATATTTTTCCCACTGCCTTTCACACAGTTCCTGGCAATGTCCCCAGAATGCATGCAGACAATGCCAGCTCTGCTTCCCACTGTTCCTGCCCCACCCCTATTTCTGGAAGACATGCTCTGCATGTCCAGCTCTGTCCCATCCCCAGCTCTGTCCCATCCCCAAATGCTCACAGCCACCACCCCAACCTCCTCACCTTTGGCCTCTCCCTCCATGGTCTCTGGGTTTTCTATAAAGCCCAGGACACAGTGGCCTTCATCCTCCATATCAGGGCGTGCTACATACACATGGCTATGGATGTTCCGAGCAGAATTGTGAAGCAGCTGTAAGCCAATGAGTGAGGAGACCACCCTAGAGGAATGCAGGGGGACATCAGCCTGAGAGGCCTGGCCTTTCTTTTTTTTTTTTTTAATTTTTTTTATTGGTTGTTCACAACATTACAAAGCTCTTGACATATCATATTTCATACATTAGACTGAAGTGGGTTATGAACTCCCAATTTTACCCCAAATGCAGATTGCAGAATCACGTCGGTTACACATCCACAATTTTACATAATGCCCAATTAGTAATTGTTGTATTCTGCTACCTTTCCTATCCCCTACTATCCCCCCTCCCCTTCCCTCCCATAAGGCCTGGCCTTTCTGACCATGAGGTTGATACTCTTGGCACCCCAGTGTTCAAAGGTGCAGGCTGGGCTCCGAGAGGTGCAGGGCCAGTTCCAGGACTCACAGCTCTATGTGACCCTGTCACCCTGGGCAGGGCTTACCTTCCCCACATTATGACCATCTCCTGTTGGGTGGAGGAACCAGAGGTGCTGGACGTGAAAGAGGAGTCATCATCTAGGCAGTCTGGCTCTAGGGTGTCCTCCAAGCTCTCTGGGGACTGTGCCTGGAACATATATAACATGCTGCTATCATCTACCTCTGTAGCCACCTCTCCCTTCTGCAATGGGACATGGAGGAGATGGAGAGTCAATGGCTCAAGTGTGACCCACCAGATGTATTTGGGGATGGTGTTCAGTGAAAAATCCAAAGCCCTAAGGGATTTATCCATTAAGGGGACAGGAGAGCCCCAGCACCACAATAGCTGGCAGAGTTCAAGTGGAATTGCTGAGGGAATAGTTGGCTACCTCAGCAGCTTCAGGCCAGTTTGTTATATGACAAGAGGTGGCAGCTCTGTGCATTAGGAACATTATCCTCTGAGTCCCACCAGCACATCACCTTCTGGAGGTGAGAAAACAGGCTCATCCCAGACAGTTCTTGTGTGAGGACACCCAGGACATCATTCTCTGTGATGCTGTCAAAGTGGCTCAGGAGGGAATGAGGTCAGGTCCCAATGCTAGGAAAGGCTGAATGGCTATGGAAACTGAGTCCACCTGGAAGGTGGTAAAGTGCTGGGGCCCCCAACACCTGTTCTGAGACTGTAGGGTGTGTTCCTTGAGACAGCAAGTGACATAGAAATGGACCAAGTAGCAAAGTTCCCGGGTTGTTTTGGCTAAATGTCCCCCTACTAATCCTGTTAATGTGTAAAATTGGAGAGTGTGTGGAAGGACAGGCAGTCCACTGCCACCCAGACACCTGGATCTAGGAGTTATAATCAGCTGATGGGTGAAATGCAAAATCTTCAGATTAAGGAAGTGAGAATGTCAGTGTTGCTGTTGTGATGTTGTCTCTAATATGGGGACAGTGACCTTGCATGTGGCCAAGGCCAAGGCTGGCAGAGAAGGTGGGGATGGGTGAGGAGTTGGTGCTCAGATTCCTTATGGTTCAGGACTCTGCCCCTCCACCTTCCAGCCCCACAAGGAATGTGTTCAGGGTGGTGTCTGGGCTTAGTGTCATCTTCTGTTCTTCTCTTGGCCTGGGCTATGGAGGCTTCCCTGCTCCCACACTCACCCTGAGGCCAAGCTCGTTCCCACAGGTACTTGGCCCTGGCCCTTCCAGCACAGCTCTTGATTGGAAGCCCCTGTTGCTGTCCTCCATGAGAACCTGTGGAGAGCAGGTCAACAGAGAGCCTGAAAGCTGGCAGGGAGCCCCTGGTCCTGCCTAGCCTCTGTTCAGGGTGTTTCTGCCCTAGTGGTGATCTCCCCAAATCTCACACAGACCCTGTGTCCCAGAGTTCTACCCTAGGAAGACAGGAGATGGCACTGGGGGCCAGAATGAGGCCTAGACACTCCCAGTCCCACCTCTAGTCCTGTCCTGGGGATGATCATGACAGATACCTGGCTAACAATCTCCCAATAGCTGATCCTGCCTCAGCTCCCTGTTCCCCCAAACTCAGGAGGAAGGCATTTCAGGGTTACTCACGGTGGTGGATGGTCTCTGGCTCAGTGGCCCTGGATTGTCGGGTGTAGGCCTGCGTTGTCTGTTCACACAAGGGCAGAGGTGCTGGGAGCAGGATCTCCAACAGCACCCCATTCTTATCAGTAGGTTCCCTCTGCAGGGCTTCCTGGAGCTGTAGCGGGGGCGGGCTCTGGCAGCCTGGCCTCCTGAAGCTTTGGCCTCCACAGGGGAAGCAAGAAAACATGCTTTCGCGTCCAACGTATCTCACCAAATGAGCTGGGAGGAGGCTGTTGCTAGAATGTGGGTGCCTGGTTACTGGGTCCAAGTTCTGTTTGCATCTATCACCAAGAAAGGGAGGCCATGTCTTGGAGTCCCTGGTCTGACCCTTCCTCCAGATAAACCCACATATGTCCTGGGCTACAGTTGACTGTCCTCCAGCCCTATGACATTTCCATATGTGTCCATAGCCATCCCCAACACTGTCCCCATATCCTTGTCAGGCCTGGGTGCAGCCAGGGTCCCAGCTCTGAGGAGACATAGCTGGGTTTAAACCCAGCTCCTTCTCCTGTCCTCTCATGTGACCTTGGACAAGTCCTCGTGTCTATCAAGTCTTCCTCATTCTCCATCACACAGTGGCGCCATCCTAGCATCTGCTTCCTAGTGATGTCACCAGGAGTATGTGAGATGGCATTTAGAAAACCTGCTGCCTTGTGTGTGAAATGCACAGAAGCAGAGATCAAATATAGGAACAGGTGGGATGTCACATAGAATAGAACTAACAACAGGCCTAGCCTCCTGCCCTGTGACTTTGTAAATGTCATTTTCCTTCCCAACCTTCTTTACTCTCTGCATGGTGAGAGGATTGAAATGCAATTAGTGAGGATATCCTCATCTCCCTAGGCTTTCAGTTGCTTCCCATGGTCTTTAGATTCAGACCCATGTGCCCCAGCCAGGCCTGTGTGCTGGGCCTCCTGCTGAGCAGGGCCCAGCTCCCCTCACCCTCCTGTGAACAGTCCCTTCCCCCTTTCCATTCCTCTACTGTCCACACTCACCTGGGAGTCATTGTCCTCACAAAGCCTTTTCATCACCACTGCCAGGGCAAGGACTTGGGTTCCAGTTCCACATGGGTCCCCGAGACTCCAATAAGGTGGTCTTTCTCCCCCTCCAAGGATGAGTGGTCCCTTAGGGCACCGTTCTGCTGTGGCCCACGTCTGTCTTCCTGTCTCCTCTGTCCTCTGATGGCCCCCAGGGGGCAGAAAGCTTCCACCAAGGGCCAGAGCACAGTGTCACACGGGAGGCAGCGCAGACTGGGGAGCCTGTGGGACCTTGTGATGACCTACTCCAAGCTCCAGACTTTGTAGGGAAGGAAACGGAGGCCTCGGGCCACGTTCTCCCCTTCCTGTCTTTTAGGGCTTTATTTGGTTTGTGTTTGGGGCTGTGCTGGGTTGCAGCTCAGCAACGCTGGACCACTGAGCTACCCCAGAGCCACTCTGTTGCCCCGTGTGATGGTCCAGATTCAGCAGATCCCTGGGGCGGGTAAAGTGGAAGGGCAACAATTAAAAGGACTAACTGGATCCAGTTGAGGCCGAACACCTTAAGAGAATGGACCATACTTCCTGTTTCCAACTCACCTCCCTTTTTTCTTTGTATGCCCTTTGGTCTCATTGTACCCGTTGGTCTTGCCATCTATCCTAGACATACACGTTTGGAGTGGAAATGCCCCCTGGCAGTGAGTTTTCCCCTCTCTTAACAGTTTGCATAGCCATCCTGTGGTCAGGAGCACTTGGTTCAGTTCTTTCAGCTTGGTTGAAGATTATTTTCTCTCCGGGTCTTGATTAAAATCAAGTCATCAGGCTGGAAGTGATGAATGCAAATTCTACAATGAGAGTCTGTGCAACAGTTTATAATAATCATACCATCAAAAAAAAAAAAAAACAAAAAAGGTACAGATAGGTCTCAAATTGACTCAGAACAAACTTGTGTATTGGGCACTCTTAAATAACCCCCCTTTTTACTTACTTATGGGAGAGCTGACAAAAATGTACATCTTTAATTACATTGAAAGAACCTTTTTCTTTTCTTTTAAATGCCCAAGTAGGATTAGGCTTTGGTTATACCTCTCCTGCCAGGTATTTAAGACCAAACTGGTATAAAAAAATGACCTTGTTTCTTCCTATCTATTACTAAGGGTCAGCTGAGTGTCACTCTTGGGAACTTGTGAGAAGCCTCTTAGCTTCTCTAGTGGCATCTGCCAGATGGGTCAGAATCTTGCTGACCGTATGTAGCTTCCCTTGGAAGCATCAGGGACATTTCTCTCTCCAATGATCCTCATCTTTGCAGAATGTGGATTGCTTGGCTTCCTGTTCTAGAGGGTCCCTCTAATTCTCCTGATCAGCAGGTCATGTAACCCAGAGTTGCAAAGTCCTGTTGTTCCCTGGGTCCCTGCTGATTTCAGAGGACAAGAGCCATATATTCTCTCTTTTTCCTCAGCCCTTTAACTGCCTTAACTCTGTGTTTCAAACATCCACCAGGCCAGTTTCACCAGTCAAAGTACAAGTACTTGGTTTTATATTTAATGTATATAACTTTAAAGTCATTTATCCCTTCCATTTAATTGGGGTCAGTATTAGTACTGGAAGTCAGCCTTATATTTTGTTTGTCCTACAGCAAAATATAAGAAGAGATCTGACAAAATGGGAGAGCTGACAAAAATGTGCATCTGAAGGCCCTCCATGGGGCAGAAGCTTCCACCAAGGGCCAGAGCACAGTGTCACACGGGAGGCAGCGCAGACTGGGGAGCCTGTGGGACCTTGTGATGACCTACTCCAAGCTCCCGACTTTGTAGGGAAGGAAACGGAGGCCTTCGCTCCTCAGGGGACTTGTCCTAGTCAATTGTGCCACGGCTGAGGCCCACACACAGGGCCCCGGGCCACGTTCTCCCCTTCCTGTCTTTTTGGGGCTTTATTTAGTTTGTGTTTGCAGCACCCGATCACCCTGGGTTCTGATGAAGAGTGTCTGGTTTTCCTCACACTCTATGTCCCATGATGGCTGGCTGCCTTTTGCCTGCCCCTTGATGCTCCTTGGCATTCTGGAGGCGAGGGTAGAAGAGTTCCAGGTACCCACTAAAACCCTCTGAAGATGAAATGGGAGTGAAGGCCTGGCACACACTTAGCATGCAGGACTGGCTTCCTGGGAGGCCAAGGAGAATGGGAAGGGAGAAGAAGGTACAGAAAGGACAGAAAAGGAGACAGGAAGAAATTAGGTGACACCTATCACCAAGGTCAAGAAGCCATAATATGAAATGTGCATGTAATGAAAGTTCCTTCTGTGACAGATTAGAGAATCAATGTTTCAAAATGCCACTTATTCCTGTTTTTTTAACTGCAGTCCCCCCATACCCAGTGCCTGTCTCTGTAGTTCAACTCCATCTCACTCCCCGCAAGATGTTGTTCTCTGTTTGCTCTAGCCCTCCTGTCATGTTGTGCCAAGCATGCAGCCTCTAGTGCCAAAACAGAGTATGTCACAGGGATGTGCAGACTTGACATCTGAGATCCAATAATCCTAAAGCTATCATAGTGGGACAAGTTTTTTTTTTTTTACATAAAAAAGGTTTTACTCCCCAGGAGCAAATAAATCATTTTGAATTACTGATATACACTGTTACCAAGAAAATAAAGATGGCTACATGTATGCAGTAGCACAAGTTCAGTGTAAGAAATGGGTGAGGGCTGGGGATGTGGCTCAAGCGGTAGCGCGCTTGCCTGGCATGCGTGTGGCCTGGGTTCCATCCTCAGCACCACATACAAAACAAAGATATTGTGTCCGCCAAAAATTAAAAGATAAATATTAAAATTCATTCTCTCTCTCTCTCTCTCTCTCTTAAAAAAAAAAAGAAAGAAACAGGTGAGTTGGCGATTAGAGATAAAAACCAACATAACCCAAACCAAGAGGATTCCCATAGGGAAAGTGTCGAATTCAAAAGCTCCTCCCCAATGCACAGGGGGCATGTCATTGTCTTAGAAGTGGAAAACAAATCCCCCTGTGGAGATGCTTGCAACACCCCAACTGGTGACAAGACTTGGGCAAATGAAGACATACACTCACACTCAAACATAGACCTCCTTCCAGCAGTCACAGAGTTACATCCCAGAGCCCGATTGTTGAGAGCCACAGCCGAAGGGACCCCAGCAAACTTTCAGACTGCCAGCTGATGATTGGCTCACAGCGGGCCCAGCAACTTCTAGCTGATTGGCTCCTCTGTGGTGATGCTCATTGGGCTGTTTCCCCGCCCTTTCAGACTATGGAGCTGCTCATTGGGGGACATTTTTTGGCTCTGCCCATGTGACCCAGCCAATC